ACCTGCTGAACAGCCACAAATGGGTCGAGGAACACAGAAACGGCCCACTGAAAAATTCCAACTGAAGGGGACTATTTCAGCCTGTGGGGGTGTTTAGAATACTAAATTCTTTTAATGAATATTGTTATTATTTATTGGTAACACTGCTTTTTAAATTGCTTTTTCCTTTCCAACTGAAGGGGACTATTTCAGCCTGTGGGGGTGTTTAGAATACTAAATTCTTTTAATGAATATTGTTATTATTTATTGGTAACACTGCTTTTTAAATTGCTTTTTCCTTTCTATACCTTCTCCTGAAGTGATGACTGACACGGGATAAAAATATTCTTAAAAATAAAATATTAGAACTTTCCCAGAGGTGAATGAAGTACTATGAAGCTTCCATAGGACAACATTCAATTCCAAGTAGGGTCTAGCTTGCACTGTCCTGAAAGTCTCAGCTTTATTGTAAGATTCATGTCCTTAATTTGGATTTTCAGATGGAAAAAAATATTTCACTTTTAAATCTCACTAGTAGCCTAGACATCTTGAATATAAATCTATTAATTTTCATTTTCCTGCAAGGTAATTCTATGAATTCTACACATTTTGAGGGAGCAATACATATGTATTCAGTTTTCAGATTTTGCTGGTGATCAGTGTCTTGAGCTACAAGTGTACAAAATTTCTGCTTTGTATGAAACGTGTGTATACGCATACAAACACAGTCCTAATAGTATTTTTGGTGTAGGGAAAAAAAATTTTTTCTTTTTTTTTTTTTTTTAAAAAGGATATTCACAATAAGGTCATCATAAGATCAGCATATCTAGAACTACTTTACATATGTGTATACAACAATACTACTAACTGTATTAGACCTTTGCTTACAAATGGACGCCTACACCTCTTCTGTGGCACAAAGTGCTTTTGCCCATCTTTGGTTTGCACAGCAGCTGAAGCTTTTTCTACCCAGCGGCCCGAAAGCGATTAACATCATGTGAGTAGGCAAATGGGTACCCACCCTTAGAAGGGTGGGGGGCACCTGCCTCTGTAACAAAAGAGGTTTGTGGTGGCCCCAGCTGCGTTCGGCGAGAAACATCAATGGCGGCGGCGGCGGCAGCGAAGCCGAGATGGCACTCGGCAAGAAGAACATCGGTCGAGCGATCCCTGGCGGTGGAAGATTGCGGTGGAGACTGGCGTCGGCATCTGATGACATGGACTGTAAAGCGCGGCGGAGCCAGCTAGGACAGAGCCGAGGCTCAGCAGACGCGAGGACAGGCGCCGGGTAGACGGTCCCACCAAAGGAGAGAAGCAGCCGACCAGTGGAGAAAAATCGCCGGAGAAAGAGAGCCGCCAAAAGAGGGAGAGCTGCCAAGCAGCCAGAAGAACGCAGCGGACCTATCACAGGGTGCTGGTAGGGAATCCCCACCCCTTCGGTATGTGGCCTTAGATAGGGCTAACAAGTTCGTAAGAACGCCCCTGTAAACCGCTCTGAGACCCGTTAGGGGTTATGGGCGGTATATAAGTCCCATGTAAATAAAAAAATAAAAAAATAAAATAGATATGCAAGATCTGGGCATTGTTATCCATGCTTTGATCACATCCACATTAGATGAATACAATGCTCTGAATGTGGAACTATATATGAAGTCTGTTTGGGAGCTCTGAACATTGCAAAACATGATAACAAGACTGCGAAGTGGCACAAGTTATCAAAACATAATTTGCCAATATCTATAGACACGTTGGCTGCCACTTCCAGGCACAATTTGAAGGGCTGGTTATTACTACCTTTAAAGTTCTAAGTGTTTGCAGAATTTGAGGTTTACAGTGCCATCTTGAACAGGGTTACATCCTCCTAATTCCACGGACGTTAACAAATTTAGAAGGCTTTAGGATTGCACTGTTAAAGGACTACCTCCTTCTATATAAGCCTACCTGACATTTAAGATTTTGACAAAGTGCCTCTGACTCTCAAAGTTGTGGTGGGTAGTCACCAGAGCTGAGACATTTTCTACAGGTGATCTGACCCCACTGCCCCACACACAGTGCTCACTAGACACCAAGCCTCTCTAATCTTTATGTGCCAAGTTAAAACCTTCCTGTTCACTCAAACTTTATGCTAATTGTGTTGCGCTCCAGGGGTCTGCTGTTGTTACTTGGGAGATCATGATTTTATTACCAACTATCATAAATGATTGCAAGACATTTTAGTCACAAATACCACAGATCACCTAAATATTACAAGCACATGTGTGTAATAACAGTCTGACAGCTAATTAAAAGTAATCTTCAGGAAGGGATAGGAAGACAGCATGCCTTACCCTTATCCTACCCAACATTTCTCTATTCCAAATCAGAACTCCCTCCTCGGCAGCTTTCACCCCTGTAGGGTGTCATGTGCCGGCCAGCTGCCACCTCCTCAGAGGAATCTGAAGAATTGGGCCCGACACCAATGG